ATGCAAAAGGCAGTAACAATACTGTAAAAACTGACTGAAATTGAGTCTCTTAACTATTAATTATGTTTAGCTCATCTGTGTTCAGATTCAGAGAAAATATGGAGTGACAAACAGTTTTCTTCACTTTCAGTGTAGTTGCTGCTTTTCGTCATTGTAGGGATCCAAGTTCAAAGGCAAACATGTCAAGCAAGAACAGCTCAACATTTGGATGGACCACTTGTCCAATTTTGTACATTTACATTTAATGTTTTGTAAAGAAAAAAAAAAGCTCAACAAATTATGAATATGTATTAAATAGATATAAATATAAAATCAAGAATTTTTCAAAGACAGACATTTTAAAAATGTATATAATTTAATATTTGTAAAAGTATTTTTAAATAATATATTATACATAATAATAATAATAATATATGAATAGTAAAATACGTTGTTTTAAATATATTTTTTCTCTTCACTTTTTAAAAATATATTTATATATACACATAATAACATAAAATGCATAGTGTTATTATAATCATATTATATAATATGTATATTATTATATTATTTTGTAACTTTTTCTTCACTATTCTTTTTCTGTGAGGAAAAAAATTATAGTTTAGAAAAATTGTTACAAATATAATAATAATACCTTTATTTTAAATAAAATTTATTTTTGTTTTTGGCAAATATATACACATACATACAGTGGTGTGAAAAAGTGTTGGCCCCCTTCCTGATGTATATATATATATAAATAAAATCTCAGAATGACCATGCGTTACCACATTTCAAGAATGGGGTTCGTCTAGTCACATGACCTCAAGATGACAGCCATCATAAGGAGAGATTGTTGTAGTCTGTTTATTTTGTGCACCTATCAGAAGCAGTATGGAAACAGACGACTGAGAAACTGTCACTGCAACCATCCAACCGTGAAACATTGCTGTCCTGAGCTGCAGGGTTGCACCAGACAGTCAAAACCTAATCAAGGCTGATAGAGGGCACAGCAGGTGAGTGATTATCGCAAGCTGGCAAAGTTACATCACGCTAACGGACCAATCAGCGAAGCGTGTTAAGGTATGAAACTTTATAACTTTTTTTTTTTTTTTTACAAACAATTCACACTGAAGTCCACACGTGCAGACGTACAACAGGCAGCCGTGTCTGTTTACTCCATCTGGGTGAAGCGAAATATGTGTGTGCATCTGATACAGTGAGCCGTCTCGCTCTCAGGCTGTGGTTATGTAACTGTTCCTGGTCAGGTTTAATCGAATGAGTCCAGCCGCCCTCCTCCCCTCCACAGCTGACTGGACGAAGAGCTTACAGCAGCAATCCTCTTCTGCAGCGTCAACGGACGGTGTGGACGAGCTGCGCTTAATTACTACCAACATGGCCTAACTCTCAAGTCTCCTCGTTTTACCCTTGCAGTGGTAATGGTGGAGCCTACTGGTTAAAGATCTGGGCTGGTAATCTAGCAATCTTCACGGTGTCATTGATTGAGACACTAACCTCGGGATGCTCCAGGGAGGATTGTCACTGTAGTAGCGTATTAGAAATCGCTTCAGGTAAAAAGCTTGAAGATAAAACGTGGTTAGCTTTCAAAAAAGTAGCCTAAACAATGTCCAAATAGCTACTGGTGTGTTTTAGAGGGAGTAATTACATATTACACATACAGTTTAATACATGAGATATTAAGTCGCAATTACGAGAAAAAGTTAATGTTTCTCGTAACTGCGACTCTCTCACAGTGCAACATCTCACAATTGCTATATTGCTTCTTACAGTTTGCAACTTGCTCCTTACAACTGTGATTTCATCTCCTACAATGTGTCTATCCAAAAATTGCAATATTGTGAGAAAAGTTAAAATAGTTTTTTGTAATTCCGAATTTTTCTCCCAATGTGACACTTCACAATTGCTACATCGTTTCTGACAATTTGAAACATTTTCCTCATAATTGCGACTTCATTTCAAAAACTACGATATTGTGAGACAGTCACAATTATGAGAAACAAGTCTGCAATTATGCGGAAAAATAATAGTTTCTCGAAATTGTGACTATTTCTCACAATGTGACATCTAACATTGTTTCTAGACTGTTTGCAACTTTTTCCTTATAATTGCAACTTCATATCTCACACAATCTTCCTCAATCGCGACTTTGTATCTTGGACAAATTGACTATCTAAATATTGTATTTTTTGGAGATAGTCACAATTGCGAGAAAAGTTATAATTGTTTGTCCTAACTTTTCCTCACTGCTGTATTGTTTCGGACAATTTGCAACGTTTTCCTCATAGCTGCGACTCCATATCTCACAATGTGACTTCATATCCAAAAATTGTGCTAGTGAGATCACAAATATGAGAAACACACAATTACGAGAACCAAGTTTGCACTTATGAGGACTTCTCACAATGTGACATCTGACTTTGTTTCTGACAATTTGCAACTTTTTACTCATAATTGCAGGTTCGTGTCACAAAAACATGAGAACTTTCCAAAAATTGTGATATTGCGAGTCACAATTGTGAGTTATAATTTAGAATGATTTGCCATTTTTTCCCCATAATTGCGATTTCATTTTGTCACAATTAAGAAAAACATTTGCATTTATGAGAAAGTCCATTATTTCTCGTAATTACAACTTTATTTCTTACATTTTTTCTCACAATTTGCAACTTCATAACTCAGTGTGACTGAATTTTTGAAACTAAAGTCATTATTACAAGAAACAAATTTGCAATGGAAAAAGTAAAATTGTGAGTTACAAAGTCACATTGTGGAATGTAAAGTCACAATGACAAGAAAAATGGAGATTTAGCTACAGTTGCCTCCCGGTAAAATTGTGGTAAATTTCATGTTAACTTTAAAAGATAGCTCTCTGTGGGGTTTGAACCTATAACATTTTGGTTACCAGTCCAGATGTTTAACCATTAGGCAAACCCAAAAACAAAAGAACAGCTCTCATGTTGGCAAACAGGGCATTTCCTCCTCTTTGGCAGCCTGGAGAGAGGCAGCAGTGGTGATTTGATCATTAACAGGATTCAGTGTTTATCACACTCACAGATGCTGTGTGTGACTCGTGCAATTAAGAAGCTGTTAAAACAAGCTGTTAATTAGAGCCAGAAGGAAGGTACTGATAAAACTGTCACATACGTCTACAACTACCATCTTAACAGCAAAGCACAGGATGACATGAGGGCCCAAAGGTCTTGAAAATGTAACGTTTTAAAAGGATGAAGAATGTTTTAAAGACAGAAAAATACAAAAATACAAAATATTTAATAAGCAATAGTTAAGGAGGGATGAGTATGCTGTTGGATGATGCTGCTGTTTTTCTTTGACGTAGGCTGAATGAAAAGAGAGTTTATGTAGCGTAAAGGACGTTTTTTTTTTTTTGAATGACAAGCATGTAGTAATGCACTCAAGAATGCACGCTGTACGTGTTTAACAAGTCTTTCTGGCGGGTCAAGCTGAAGACACATCGATACCTGCAGACGTGTTTGGCTGTTGCTGAGTTACTCACGTGAACACTATTTACCTGCCAGCTAGTTTGACAACTTTGTGCAAAGAACTGAATAGAAATACCTTATTACACAGCAATGTTTGTTTTGACAGGGCCTAGAAAGAGTCTGGAGTGACATTCTTTCCAAACTGCAATGAAGACTGATTATACAGGTTATGAGATGTTTTTAAAATGTCTCAATTGAAAATATAAAAAAAAGGGAGTATTCAGACAGCTCCAGACAATTTTGCACACTTTGCATTATGTTAAAAGTCTGGGGTCAGTAAGATTTTTAAGCATTTTTATAAGTAGTCTCTTATGCTCATTAAGTCTGCATTTATTAGATCAAAAACACAGTAAAAACAAGAATATTGTAAAATATTATTACAATTTTAACCCTCTACCGCACGCATTATGATAGACCTATAGAAAAAAATATTTGAATCTTTTTCTTTTCTAAGAATGGCTTAACTTGAAGTGCTGTAAAAAAAAAAATTGAAAAAAATATTATTTTAAGGTACTTTATGATATGTTGCCATACGGCAACAGCATACAATAGTGGATCTAACTTAGAATAAGTGTAAGCTTACTTATAATTAATATTTTTCCTCAGAAATAAGAGTATGTTGCCATATGGCTACACCATGCGGTAGAGGGATATATAACTTTTTTATTTGAATATATTTAAAAAAATACAATTTATTCATGTGATGCAAAGCTGAATTTTTAGCATCATTACTCCAGTCTTCAGTGTCACATGATCCTTCAGAAATCAGTCTAATATGCTTATGCTGTTTAATTATTAATGGTCCTCAATTATTATTATTATTATTTTTATGTTTAAAACAGTTTTTGCTGCTTAATATTTTGGTGGAAATCATGATAAATTTTCAGGATCTTTGATGAAAGTTGAGAAAAACAGCATTTTGAAGTAGAAATATTTTGTCACATAAATGTCTTTACTGTCACTGTTTGTCAATTTAATGCTGAATGAAAGTATTATTTATTTATTTTAACTCTTGCTTCCCATATTCCACAAAATTATGAAGCGCTACAACTGTTTTAAGCGTTAATAGTACTACTACTACTACTAATTATAATAACAATAATAATAAATGTTTTTTGAGCAGCAAATTAAAATATTAGAATGATTTCTGAAGGATCATGTGACACTGAATGATGCTGAAAATTCAGCTTTGCGTCGCAGGAAACAATTGCATTTTAAAATATATTACAAAAGAAAACAGTTCCTTTCAAATTGTAATAGTATTTCACAATATTACTGTTATTACTGCATTTTGCCTTGGTGAGCATAAGAGAATTTTAGTAATTATTCCAAACGTTTGACCTGTAGTGTGTATGTATAAATAATTTAATGCTAAAATTTCAATTTAATAAAGTACGTAATATAATCAGAATTAAAAATTCTTTGTTTCTTAAATATTATGAAACCCTTCTTCCCACACAGTTGCAATGGTCCAATATGAATAAATGAATAATTGACTGCGTCTCACCGCTGTGGTATTTTGCCAGTTGGAGGGCAGGGATGTTGAACATCACGTCGCCCATCATCTCTCTGTAAATGTCTCGGACTTGAATGGGATCTCTTGTGTCGCCCAGGTACTCGTTCGCCACCAGATCAACGATCCATCGATCCCTGGGCTGATGGGAGTAACAGTCAAAGCACACAGGATTCAAAGAAAAACACACGTAAGCTACGTAATGTAAATGTGCATTGTGTTGAGTTGTGACTTACATCAGGATATGTGAGGGTCAGGCCCTTTATGGCTTGCTCTTTATTCATCCCATCAATCCATCCTTTACCCACAAAATACTATGGAGAAATAACATTCCACCTTAGCATCAAAATATACAACCAAATATGTGAATATGCTGTAAATGTGTCTGAGATCTCTGTATGCGTGTTGACTTCATACAATCTTGAAGACAGAAGGTTTGTTTCAATGACAGTCAAACAACATCTTTGATTCTAAGCGAGCGAGTTTGGAGTGTGATATTAAATATAGTAATAAATATCATTTTTACTCACTGCGGGCAGTAAAAAGCCAAACTCATCAGAAATCATATCTAATATGCTGGTTTGCTGCTCAAGAAAAATGTATTACCATTATCAACGCTGAAAACAGTTGTGCTGTTACAAAATTTGTGCAAACCAAAGATTCTAAAAGAAAGAATTTGAAATAGAAGGCTTTTATAAATGTTCTTTACTGCCATTTTTGCTAAATTTAATGCATCTTTGCTGAAAAAAAAAACAAATACTAATTTCTTTTGACCTCAAACTTTTGATTGGTAGGAAAAACGGGGAAAAAATCCCCACCTAAGAAATCATACTGTAATTGGATTTCAAAACAAATATTGATCTGGTTTGTTCATTTCAAGTAGCCTTTTGCTGTTAAGAATACAAAACAAAATGTATTTGAGGCAGATACACCAAAAAACTGACTGCCTATTTGAACAAAGACACAAAAAAGCTGTCATCAAGAAAGTCTTCAGCTCACACACTCTCACACCTGCAAACAGACAGTCAGAGAAAGACTGTACAATAGGGGCCTGAAGAGAGATTCATTACCCCTGCAGCTCAAACTGAAGACACTTGTTGTGTTATATAAGCCATCAGCAGCATAACCTGCCTGAAGCACTTTTTCCAACACGTAGACACAAATGTTCCTTGCCTAATGTACAGGTTTCCAGTCTCATGCTGACTGTCCAAGAAGGATTAAGCAGTCTATTAGTATCTATGGGTATAATCCAGGATTGTGCGTATTCTTGAGCGCTGAAACACGTAAACCCAAATCTTTCTTGCTAATGTAGTCTGACGGATGAATTTGCATTAGTTATTAGAAAATAAAACATTACTTATCAAATTAGCTTGATGATAATAATAAAAATTTAAAATGTCTATATATATATATATATTTATTTATTTATTTATTTATTTATTTTTTTCTAATTCATTTTTTAATTGTGGAAATATTATAAATATTTTATTTTATATTTTGTGAAATAATACATTAAATATTATATATAATATGGTGAGGTTAAAATATTTGTATAGTACTACAGTGTACATCTCACCTTCCTAATGCCTTGCAAGCAGTCGAGAACTGTCAGGTTGTATGTGCAATTCCCAAATGAAGCATCCCTGAAAGAGAAAAGAGAAGGCATGTTAAAATTGCGTGGGTGTATTCACACAATATAATAAAAAAGAAACACCCACAGGAATATAAA